ACTGACGGGAAAACTCGGCCAGCCTAGTGTGTGAGTAGCTGACCGGCGGACTGAGAGTCAGGCCACAATGGCTCCTTCCTAATGTGGCCTTTATGACATTCCCACCCAAATGGGATCCTGGCCAGGTGTTGGGGCACGCACAGGTGTGACCTCGGTTGCGCCGGCCACCTGCGACCGATGCCGTATCCGGTCTTCTTGACTGCGTCCTGACACCAGGCCACAGCCTCAAAAGTGTTCAATACACTTTGCAGGACTTGTGGCAAATTGCATACCTCCATAACTCACTGTACGTTTTTGAAGCTTGAGTCAAAGGCTTCAAGTGGAGACCACTTGCACAAAGTATTTCGGTTTGTCGATGGATGCAAGCGCTTCCGTTCTCAATAATATTAAGACTTATATCACTTTCTTCCTTGCAACCAAAAACGCCTCAAACTCACTGACTGCAGCGCATCTTCAAAAACCCCAATCTGGCTTTAAGGAGGAAAGTCTGTTTATTCCACTGTGAGCACTACCGCGACTTAGTACCAAGCAGCAATCGGCTCTCTTACCAACGATTGTATAAGATCCAACAGTGACGGTATTGCGTATTCCCACTGCTGGGTGAGATTTGTAGTTCACAGGGATTAAGTCGGGATCCTTTAACGGGCCAAGATCGTTTTCTAAATGTTTTCTATGTTCAAAGTTGTGAGCCCACGGAAGCCGTGTAAGTTTAATACGCCGCTCTCATCAGTCTCCCTTAGCTTTCCGTGACCGTGAACATTTTGAGACCATCAAGACCAAATGTTTGGCGTACAGATTTTGACGACATGCGTCAAGCTGCTCAACTTTTGCTTTGGGATGTGTCTATCACTGCCTCCGTAAAAGAAAAATGGGCTCTGTTGAAATCTAACGTTAATGCACTTGTTGAGGAGTTTACTCCAATGTCTGGCTCGACTCGGCGATTTCTACCCTGGATCGGCCGAACGGCTCAACGCTTATTACGACGGCGCGAACGAGCCTGGAAAGCATTTCGTTCACTCGGAACGCAATCTGCATTTGCCCGCTATAAACAAGTGCGTAATGAATGCCACGCCATTATCAGGCAAGGTAAAAGAGATTACAAAGATACTATATTGGAAGTCTCCGACTCTCAGCCAAAGCGGTTCCACGCCTATATCAACCGTCGTCGCAAAGCTCAACCTGGAATCCCAGAGCTAATTGCAGCGGATGGACAACGCATATTATCGGACGGGGAGAAAGCGCAAGCCTTGGCATCACAATACCGGGGTGTATACGCAAACCAGGTGCAAACGATAACACCGGTGTTCCCCCCATCTCAAAGCCTGGTGATCTTAACGAACATTGATTTGTCGGTAGAACATGTTATCCGTGTTTTAACTGCCCTCAAATCCTCGACCTCGCCTGGACCTGACAACTTGCACCCACTTATATTGAAGTATTTGGCAGATATTATTGCTCCATTTGTTCTGGATATTTTTCAAACGTCCATCAGTACGAGCACTCTTCCTCAAGATTGGAGTCGTGAAGCCGTTTCATAAATCCGGTGATAAATCGCTTCCCTCGAATTACAGGCCAGTAACTCTCACCTCGGTTCTAGTGAAGGTTCTCGAAACCTTCATGAAACAAGCGATCAACGATTTCCTGGATCAAACCAACGGCTGGATTCAAGAGCAACACGGTTTTACCCGCGGAAAATCTTGTGCGACAAACCTGTTATTAGCCCGTGAGTCTTGGGCCAAATCGAAAGACAGGGATTGCCCAACGCACGTGGTATTTATTGACTTCAGCAAAGCGTTCAACCGCGTTTCTCACCAATTGATAGTACACAAGTTAGCAACTCTTGGTATTGGTGGCAACATTCTGAACTGGATCCGGTCATATTTGAGTGATAGAACTTGGAATGTCAGTGTGGGAGGTGTATTGTCCCCTGCCGAGGTCGCATCATCTGGGGTTCCTCAAGGAT